AGGACAATAGTACCCGTCATAGTACCCGTTGATTTTTCGCTGAAACTAGAGATAAAAAAAGCACGAACAAAAAGTGCCCCAGAGCCCCACATACCAATCGAACCAAACGCATTGTACACACGTACGCACATCTCCCACATCTTTTCTACGCATAGAGCGCACGTGGCATTCCCCGTAAACGTTCTCTCTGGTCGACAGTGGCGGCGGCCGCGGTGGTACGGGGGTGGTTTTGGAGGTGGCAGCGAGGGAATCGCGGTGACGAGACGGCAGGGGAGAATGGTCGTTACACGCACCGGTCACTGCCACCTCCCCTGGCTATCGCCGACACGACCCCCCCTCCCCCATGCAAAATCACCCTTTGTCGCGCACGATGGGAAATTACTTTTTGTCCGTCGATTACGGGGTGAATTTTCGGACGACGAGACTCGATCATTTCGAACGAGATACGATTCGAGACGTTTTGGGGAAAAGATGTTGTACGAATATAACTGCGTTCATTCGTTTCTCTTAAACTGTCTCTAATTTGATCAAAATTAAAAAACATAATAATTATCTAATCAGACAAATTAAATCAATCTTTCTTTCTTTCTTTTTTTTTTTTACCGCAGTTGTCAATCAGAATTTCTCAGTTTTATTATTAATGAAATTAATTATTAAACTGTTAGGAAATAAAAAGAAGATAATTAAAGTATTGCTGATATATAAAAAATTATAAGAATTTAATTTTTAATACCACCTGGCGGATATTTACCAATAAAAAAAAAATCCTATCGTAACAAAAGCTGTGAAAACCTTTTTAATTTTTTGTTTAACGTATGTGAGATAATTCTCTACTCCAAGATCGTGTAAAACTGTTGGTAGGCAGCGTCATATTAAATTCCACGCCGATTCGTGCATCGCATGGCAATGCTTGGAAATAAGAGAGAGACTTGACGAAGTGTGCCCGCGGGGCCGCCAGCCCTTGATTACCAAGATCTTCATCTACATGCTAAACATCGTTCTACGGCACCGTCTTGAATACTCTTGTACTTACGTATGTATCTAGATCCATGGCCCGCGGATCCCCGTCCCCATTCGCTTGCCGAGGTATTCCACCCTCCCCGATCTCCCTGACACCCCGTGAAACGCATTGCCGTACTATCTGTATGATGTTTGCTTAGATTAAATTAACCGACCGTGAAGCCGTCCTTTGTTCTTCGTGCGGCGCGGCGAAAACGCCGACACGGAACGAAAGGAACGGGGAGCAAGAGGGAACATTGGGGGAAAAAAGCTTTGCTCGTACGGAGATTCTGGGATTTTTCATGTGTTCGGATTGTGATGTAAAATCAGACTCTGACGATTAATCAGTGGTACAAAATATTTCACGCTGAAATATAAGTGACGTTGCAATAATTCCTGTAATCTCGAGTGATAAATACTATCTTCTTGTTTTTTTTTTATAATAGAAAAAGAAACGAATTTGATAAAATTAAAAGACTGCAACTTATTAATAATATTCTTTAGATAAGGCGCCATCTTTCTTGGCGGTGTCTAAGCGTACTAAGGCGGCTTCTTAAAAGGCGCTTGCCGGCGGTGCAACTTCTTTAAGAAAATATCCTTATTCTTTCTTTCTTACCGACTCGCGTTTTGCCTCAGGTTTAAGTTCAGTTGTTCACCTTTTAATCTTACGTCGATTCAGTAGCAAAATATATGACTTAGAAAAGTTAATTCTTTAAAATGTTAGTTTTTATACTATTTTTTTAAATCTCTATACATTTTTCTGAATTAAGAAACAAAGTTTTTGTGAGAAAAAATATTTCTTGCATTTTCCGAAAAATTATTAAAAAATTGACCTTTAAAGGATAGTAAATTAATGAATTATATTTTATTAATAGTAGTCAATTTTTAATTTTTTTAAATTCATTTTTTTACCGACATTTTCGAGAGCTGCCTTACCACGAGGGTGACGTTTTCTTAAAGCTAAAGAAGGGTGCTAGAAAGAGGAGGGTGAGTCTTCTTAAATGTCTTTACCATCTTCCTCGTACGAGGGCGACACCAGTATCGCCTTAGGAAAAAAGATTGATAAGAAAATGTGTTTGTCTAAATTATAATATACAATTTTTGTTTTCTTTTTTAATTTGATTTTTAATTTTGCCGATATTAAAGATAAGTTTGCAAAGTTTTTTGTGGTGAGTTGCAAGAACTTTTCTATGTAATAAGTAAATGTTTCATTTGATCTTATTTAAAAGAGATTGAAAAAATTTATATCGTTGTATTCTACTTACGAATAATCCTATTTACTCTTCTTGCCTTTTACATTTAAAAGATATACTATGAAAAAATTTTTATGAGAATTATATTTGTAGCTCAAGAAAATATTTTGATACTTGTAAAGTAAATGAAGAACAAATTTCTAATATCATTTCTTGAAAAAAAGACGTACAAGAAAATATATTTTCTTTATACATAGTATCTACATATAAATATATTGATAATGTTCACATAAGTTGTTACATGTATTGACTTTAAATGATAATGAAGAATATTTGATTTGCTAAGTTCTCATGTGAATCATGAGCGTCAGGGCATCGGGACATCGGCAAGTTGGTCGGTTAGCCATTTCTCCGCGTTCGATCCCCCGACTCCGAAGAACCTGGTCAAACGCGCCAGAGAAATATGCGAGAGCCCGACCTGAAGCAGTAGAGAGAGATCTCGGAGTATCTTGGCCGGGTCTCGCCGGTAGCTAGGCAACCC